GGTTGCTGTGTGCCAAGTGCAAGTCAGTTTGGGAATGGCAACATTCCTCCAGCTGATCCCACCAGTGTGAGGACAGGACACTCTGCAAGCACTGGGGCAGCCCCAATTTGTCCCATGCCCTGGCAAAGCCTTGGAGCCCATCCTTGCTGCTCCCTGTCCCCATCCTGCTGCCCTGGGGAGGATACAAAGATGAAATCATCCATGAAACGCTTCTTGAGGTTCTCCACGATGGCCTCCTCATTGATCTTGGAGAGCAGCACCATGTCGTCCACACCGCTCTGCTTGACATTCTGGCTCTGCCAGTGGAAGCGCTCCTTGCTGCCCTGCAGGGACACAGGGAATGTGTCACAGGGGCCACCACCGCTGGGAGTGGAGCTCCAAAACTCCCCTGGAGTTGCTGGGAGCGATGATTGGCCCCCAGCTCAGCTGTGGCTCCAAAATAGGTGCAATGAGGGGGTTTGGCCAAGCTGGGAGCTCCCAAAGCTCCAAATCCAGTGCACCAGGCCTCGCCCCACCCCTCTGGCTGCATCCCTCCTCACCACAGGTCTGGCACCGGACAAGGAGCAGACAGGGTGCTGAGACTGTGGGCACATCTGCACCATCACCCCTGCTCCTTGCGGAGCTTAACGAAGCTCTAAGGAAGCAGCTGATGCACAGGCTCTGCTTATGAGTCAAAGGGGCACCAGAATAACGCAGGGGAAGGGTGGTGGTGGCATCCTCTGCCCACCCACATCCTCTTCGTTTCAGGGCAGAGGTGCCACTGTGGCCCATCACCATTTCCCCCTGCCCAGGGCGACACCAGCACCCTCTTTCCAGCTGTCCTCCAACTTGCCCAGCTCTGTTTCTGGGGCAGAGCAGGAAAACTGGGCTGTGGTTTAAGCCCTTGTGGGGTAAACCCAGCCCTGGGAGCGGGGGGTGAGATTTCCCAATGCAGAAATTCCCCTGAGGGCTCCCCTCACCCTCAATGCTGCAGGGGGAACATGCTGGGCACAGCTGTGGTGCCCGTGTGGCCCCTGGTGAGGTGCTGAAGGGGACACCCTGTCTGGCCCTGCCCGTGGCCCCTCTGGGCCTGTCCCTCGTGGTTCCTCTTTTACCCCCACTGCTCCATCACCGATTTCACTTCTCCCCCATCGCCCCTGGCCTGTTACTCTTTCCATTTCCCTTTTCTCCTCTTCCCCTTTTGCTTCATTTTCCTGCTGCCTCTCAAGATTTCAGGCCTCTGGACCCCAATATCTCTGGGGGCTCATCACCACCCAGCACCATCGGGATGGGGGACAGAGGGACCCTCATGGGATGTGGAGCTCTGCACCATCGTGCTGCTCCCCCTGTCCACCTCCCTCCTTGCTGGGCTTTGCAACCCAAAATACCACTCATGGCCCCCCAAACCCCAAATGCAACTCAAACCCCATGGCTGGTGAAGGGGCTTTTGGCTTTGGAGCTGGGTCAGCTCTGGGGGTCCAAGGGGTAATGGGGCTGCTCACACAGCCTGAAACCACTGGGGGAGCTTCTCCTCTTCCTCCTGTTTATTGTTTATGAGTCTTTTTCTTGCCTTCCCCTCCTATTCCTGCCCTCCATCTTAATATCCCCTAGAAAATCCACCTGGAAAATGCAGGTGGGCTCGGTCACCCATTTCAGCTCCCAGGGAGCTGCCAGTGACCCCAGGAGCTGCCCAGCTTCAACCAAAACCCTGTGCTTCAGGCAGAGAGGAGAGAGCCAGGAAAAGCCCATGGGGGGCCAAACACCTCTGTTCTGTGTCCCCATCATCCCAAACCCTCTGGCACTGCTTCTGGCACCAAATTAAGGCAAATATGAGCATTTCCTGCACTGAAAGCTCAGATATTTTGATCTGACACCCAGAGCTTCTCCTTCAGTCACACGACTGCTCAGAGCTGTCAGTGGTGAATGTGTGCCTTCACCACCTCCTCTTCCTCTGGGCCAGCTCAGGTGTTTTCCTGGCTCTCAGCTGCAAGGAAAACACCGGCTCACTTTCAATGAAGGGTTTGTCCTGGACATCTGCAAGGCTCTGGGTGTTTCCACCCTGTTTGTGGGATCATAGAGCCTACCTGGCTTCCCTGAGCATGTTCCAAGGGGTTTGCAGGGCTGGGGCTCACTAAAATCTTGGGGGAGGATGAAGAGGAATTATGATCCCTCAAAACCACGGCATTGCCCAAGCTTGGTGGCCAGTGAGCCCCCAGGGGATGGGGCTGCAGGCAGCACCCTGTGGGAGTGGGGGCACAAAATTTGCTTTTAGAGGTTTAGGGCAGCAGTTCCTCAGTCCCCTCCTCTGTCCAGGTCCCCTCCTTTGCCCCAGGATGAACTTAGGGATGAACTGGAGAGCAGAGGTCCCCAGGGAAGGGTGCCTGGACCAAACATCTCCAGGAAACCATTTCATCCTCATGCTAAGCAGGGAGAAGCTTTTGCCCACCCCTGACCTTCCAGCTGCCCTTTGCAGCCTCTGTGCCTGAGGGACTTTGCTCCAACAGTGATGCCATGCACGGCAGGTGACACATGAGGAGCCCAGCAGCATCCCCAGGCATGTGGGATGGGGACTGTCAGCACTGGGGCTCTGGATGCCCCTGGAGCTCAGACAGGATCACTGAGGCAGGGAGGGGAGCAGCCTTGTAGCAGCACTTGCAAAACATCTTGTTTTTCTTCAAAGCTGAGGCCTAAACCACCAAAAAAACCTGTAAGCCCTGAGCAGGGAGCGGATGCAGCCCAAGGTGGTTTATCTTGAGACAGGGCAGGCCCAGAAGCAGCAACACCTTAAAAGCACCGGAAACCTCGAGAAGAGCAGCAGGGCTGTTACATCACTGTCACAGCCAGGCACAGGCAGGAGTTGGGATGGGGGCTGGAAGGGGTTGGGGGTTGGGCTGTGCAGCCCCACGGCCCTTGGAGAAGGCACAAAACATCTCCAGGTGTTGGGTGGCAGGGGGGAGGGGACAGTGGCCATGTCTCTGGGGGACAGCAGCTGAGCAGTCTCTCAGAGGTGGCAGCCACGGGCATGGGTGGGAGAAGTTTTGATTCCAGCCTGGCCACTGTCCCCTTCCTGTCTGGGTGGTGGTGGCTGGGAACAGCATCCCCCCAAGAGCAGGCCATGGGCTGGAGAACACGGCTGTGACCCCGCTGTGGAGACTCTCCCTCGATGTCTAAACATCTTCCTAATTTTCAGAGCTTTCATCTTCCTCTTCTGCCTCCGGAGCAACTTCCAGATGTGTCCACTGGCCTTCCAGCAGCCCCATGTGCTGCCTGCAGCCCCTGCTCCCTGCATCTGCCAAGGGGGCAAGGTCCAGCCATGGGGGCAAACGCCCAGAGGGTCCCTCCTGGCCTGGGGCACAGGGCTGGCACCCACCACCCCACACTCTGCCCACCCCCCAACTGACCTCATCAGCACCCCAAACCCAGAAGCTCTGGTGGGAAGTTGGGCTGGGAGGAACACAAGATTCACCCGTGGGTACCACAGCAAAATCAAACACACTTTGTGTCAGCTCAGACTCATGCCCAGGTGGGCTCCATCCTGCTCTGGGGGACACCAACCCTGCGCCCAGCACTGGCACCCATCCCTGGCTGCTCCTCACCTCTGTGTCCTGACCCAGCTCTTCCCCCAGCCTGCTCCCTGTCCCCAAGCCTGGGAACACTGTCCCCTCTCCAGCAGGGACTCTGGCAGGCTCCTGGCACTTCCCAGGAAGCAGCACTGTGGGTGCAGGACAGGACAGGCCTGAGGTGGCCCTGAGGTGGCAGGAAGAGGGGGTGACATCCCCAGGGTGCCTAAGGGGGATGGGGTGGGGGGGCCCCAGGAGGGCCCCTCTTGCACTCACCATGGTGTCCCTGTGTCCTGCCCCCGGGGGTGCTCGTGCTCCTGTCACTGAGGCTCTGGTGCCATCCCGGAGCACTTTGTGTTTCTGCTGCAACTACAAATTGCGACTAATTTTTTTTTTCTCCTCCCACTTCCTCATTTCGTGAGGGTTTGCTGGGGGTGGGGAGGACAAGAGTGGCTCTGCTGCCATGGGACCTTGGGGTGGCCCTGTCCAACAGTGTCCCCACCTCTGCTGCTTGTGGGGGCCACTCACCTGGGTGAACAGGTGGATGCTTGGTGCAGTCTGGCAGGGATGCTCAGAGCCTTTTTTTTCTTTCAGGTCTTTTAAATAAAAAAGGCCACACTTGAGGAGCAGAGATGACCCATTGCTGTGGCAGAAAGCCAAGGACTGAGACAGCTCTGACTGCCATGTCCCCTCTGTCCCCTGAAGACACATCATCCTGAGATCACAGAATCGTGGAATGGTTTGAGTTGGAAGGGAACTTAAAGCTCATCTCATTCCAACCCCCTGCCATGGTCAGGGACACCTCCCACTATCCCAGGTAGCTCCAACCTGGTCTTGGACACTTCCAGGGATGGGGCAGCCATAGCTTCTCTGGGAATTCCATCCCAACCCCTCACCACCCTCACAGGGAAGAATTTCTTCCCAGTATCCCATCTATCCCTGCCCTCTGGCACTGGGAAGCCATTCCCCTTGTCCTGTCCCTCCATCCCTTGTCCCCAGTCCCTCTCCAGCTCTCCTGGAGCCCCTTTAGGCCCTGGAAGGGGCTCTCAGGTCTCCCTGGAGCCTTCTCTTCTCCAGGTGAACCCCCCCAGCTCTCCCAGCCTGGCTCCAGAGCAGAGGGGCTCCAGCCCTAGAGCAGCTCCGTGGCCTCCTCTGGACTCACTCCAGCAGCCCCAAATCCTTCTGATGTTGGAGACCCCAGAGCTGGAAGCAGCTCTGCAGGTGGGGTCTCACCTGAGGGGGGCAGAGGGGCAGAATCCTCTCCCTTGACCTGCTGGCCCAGACCAGCATTACCAACACCGGGTCTCTGTGACCCTGGGGTCCTACACGTGGATCTCCACCTCTCTGACCTTCTCCAGTCCCTTGGGAAAAACCTCCCCTGCTCCCAACCCCCTCCTTTGGCATGAGGATCGTGGTGGTGTGGGGACGAGACACGACTGGGAGCAGGAGCTGTGCCCGGGATCGTAGCTACTCCTTTATTATAAATCATGCCGTTAACGTCGCTCCTCCTCAGAGTTAGTATGTTAAACATTTTTCATTATATATATATCTATATAAAAAGGTGAAAACACCCCCTCCCTTCACCAAAATGTCAGAACGGAACATGGCACCAGGAAGGAAGACAAATGAGGACCCCCAGCCAGGCGGGGTTTGCTGAGCACCAGAGAAGATGCGAATCGGCCGAGGAGCAGGTGAAAATTAAAATACAGGTGGTAGAGTAACACAGGGAGGCTGGGAGGGTGCAGAGTTTTGCTCTGGGGAAAGAGGGCTGACCCCTCCCCACACTGTAGGGATGACCCTAAAGGAACAAAACGTCTTTGGATGAGATTTCCCATCTTTGGGATGTGGAAAGGCCTGAAAATTGTAGTGATAACAACAATAATGGTAACAGAAAGAATGTGCTTTGGAGATTTGAAGTCAGATCTCCTCTGCATGGAGAAGACACGTGTTGGCCCATATTTGGACAGGAGGTGACCTGGAGGAATGTCAAGCCTGCTCTTTTTCCGTCACCAGAGGTCTCCTGTGGGCAGAGGAGCGGGTGGCACTGGGACTGGCACCCCGAGGCCACAGTGGCACATGGCCAGGCTGCCTTTGGGAGGAAAAGCACCTTTTGGAGGCAAAGCACCTTTTGGAGGCAAAGCACCTTTGGAAGTAAAGCACCTTTGGAGGCAAAGCAGCCTCAGAGGCTTTGGCATTCTCTGGGCAGGACCTGCAGGCTGGTCCTGAGTCAGGGCCATGGGGACACCGTGGCAGGACAGTTCGTGTCCTGTATCTCCTTTGCTTTGCTCCCTGCAGCCCAGCATGACCTTGATGCCCATGAAGTGACCGTAACCCTGAGCACACACTCATGCTTCGAGGAATAGATATGGCCATAAAAGTGACAGGAAAAATAGGGGGACACCCCAATCAAAGTAGGTCGTTATGAGTGTTTGAATAACTCCCCTCTCCCAGCTAAACTGGTGTCACCGTGGAGTAACCTGCTCCCTCTGCCCTGGTGCAGGTCCCAAGGTGACAGGATGCAAACAAAATTCCTGCTCCAACCCCACTTCCCACAGCGGCTCTTCCTCAGGAGCCACACGCCAAGCTCGTCACCCGAGGCACCCAGACCCTCCTCCCTGTCTCCCCTGGGATCCCGAGGGAATGGCAGCACCCCTGGGTGTGCTCAGGCTCCCACTGCAGACCACGGTGCTCTGTGATACCCTCGGACGCGGGCATGGAACAGGATGAGGTGAGTGGTGCTGCTTCCCCCACTGGCAGGACCTGGGCTCACGACTAATAAATAACAACATCAGAACTTCAAGTAATGTCCCTGCCCACATTCCCACTCTCCCACCGCTCATCCATGCTGGGAGCTGCAGTGGTTTAACTGGGAACCTGCCATCGTGAAGCTCAGGGGGCGAAGGTTGCTGGTTTTGGGGGTTTGGGTGGCGCTGGCTCCCACTGGAAGCACGAGCAGTGTCTGTGTTGGAGCCAGAGGAGATTCCCAGGTTGGAGAGGAAGGGCCCAGCTCGGTGACCCTCCAGCATAGCTTTTGCCTTCCAGTTTTCCCACAGGGGTCAGGCTGTGTCCCTAATGCCCCTGGCAGGTTTTACAGCACATCTGTCGGAAGTAGGTCCGGCTGCAGAACTTGAACTTCAGGACGAGCGGGCAGTAGGCAACCTTGTTGACATCCTTGCACTCTGGGGAGGAGACAGAGGGAAGGAAGCAGAGTTACAGCTGCCTCAAGGTGAGGAGAACCCCAGTCCAGCTCCTGGGGGTGTTCTTGCCAGGAAGCAGCAAGATGCTGTAATGAAGAAGCTACTGAGAACCTCACTGCTGAAAACCTCAGTCTGCCAAAGTGCAGTTCACAGACTCACAGAACATGCTGAGTTGAAAGGGACCCCCATGGATCATTGATTCCAACCCTCAGCCCTGCATAAGATCATTCCCAAGAGTCTCGCCATATGCCCCAGAGGATCATCCAAATACTCCTGGAGCTCTGGCAGCCTTGGGGCTGTGACCACTGCCCTGGGGAGCCTAGGCAGTGCCCAACCAGCCTCTGGGGGAAGAACCTTTTCCTGAGATCCAACCTGAGCCTGCCCTGACACAGCTCCGGCCATTCCCCGGGGTTCTGTCCCTGGTCCCCCCAGAGCAGAGCTCAGTCCCTGCCCCTCCTCTGCCCCTCCCCAGGCAGTTGGAACTGCAGTGAGGTCTCCTCTCAGTCTCCTCCTTTCCAGCTGAACACACCAAGTGCCCTCAGTATCCTCACACGGCTTCAAATCAAGGCCTTAAGTTACTCCATTTCTCAGGGTCACAGCACATCAGGTTGACTTGGTTGTCCCCCAGTGGGAGACAGCACTGGAACACAGAATGGCCCCACTTCCAACCCAACCACTCTGTGGAATGATTTGGATTGGAAGGGACATTAAAGACTATCCAGTCCCACCCCCTGCCATGGGCAGAGACACCTTCCACTAGCCCAGGTTGTTCCAAGCCCCGTCCAACCTGGCCTTGGACACTTCCAGGGATGGGGTCTCCTCACCCCAGAGCCCAGCTCGGGCTGTGCTGGCTCTGATGTCCCTTTACCACGCAGCCCCTGAGCTGGCAGTGCCCCACGTTTCCCATCCCAGAGATCCCGTTCCCCTCACCCTCAGGGTTGTCCGTGGGTCCCGACTCGCACTTGGTCTCGCACTGCTGCATCCCCGGGGGCTGCAGGGCCTCCACACACTCACTGGACGGCTGCCCGGTGTGGGCCAGGCACTGGACGGATCTTCTCTGCTGGCCGAGGCCACACTGGGCCGAGCACTGTGGGGACAGCACACAGGGAGCTGTGGCGGCCACCACGGCTTTAGGAAAATGTGCTGGGTGTTGGGAGGTGCAAAGGGTGCTGGGTGTGGTCATCCCTTCCCTCCCCAGGGACCTCCTGGCATGACAGTGCTGTTACCCCACTTCCCAAAAGGCTTGGTTTGAATCTCCAGGACTTAGTGAGGATCTCTCCATCCTGCCCTAAACCACTGGCTGTTCTCAGGCCTCCTGCACCCCAGTGTCACCCTACAGCTCGAGGGGTGTTGAGGGAAGGAAGGACTGTCAGTGCTACCCTGCTGGGCTGTGGTGGGAGGACCAGCAGTGGCCCTACATGGAGCTGGGCCACTACAGCCCTGCTGACCCGAGGTACCCATGGTGGCCCTCACACAACCTCCACGGGGCCCTGCTAGGCCTGGGAGACTCCTGGGTCAGCTGTGCCCTTGGGCCACCATCACATGGCCTTCTGAGCCAGGAGGGAGCAAGGAACCCTGCCACAGATAAGCCAGGAGGGAGCAAGGAACCCTGCCACCCAGATAGTTGTGGTGGCCACATGGGGTTGTGCTGGCTGGTAAAAGCCTCATGTGCACGAGGATTTGAGGGGCTGGGGAGTTTTCCACGGGGAGGAGTGTCCCTACCTCTCCCCACTCGCCGGTGACCCAGCGGGGCGGGGGGCAGCGCCGCAGGTTGCACCTCATGCTGGTGGGGGGCTTGGAGGCCTCGTGGCACTGGGCCGTGGGCAGGGTCGCGCTGTGGTCGCCGCTCTTGCACAGGACGATGCGGTGGCGGAAGCCGGGGCCACAGTTCGGGGTGCACTGCAGGGAGGGGACACAGGGGGCACAGGTCAGGGGGTCCAGCAAGGAGCAGAGACAGGCAACTCTGGCTCCCTGATGTGTCCTCCTACCTTCCCTGTGTCCTGAGCTACAAGACCATTCCCCAGGTTATGCTCTCTATGGTGAGCTCTGACCTGGTGAGTGACACTGCCTCATAGACCAGGGCCCTCTGAGGAGTGAGGGCTCTTGTTAATGACAGAATTACAGAATATTCTGAGCCGGAAGGGACCCACAGGGATCATCCAGTCCAACTCCTGGCCCTGCACAGACACCCCAACAATCCCCCCCGTCCCTCAGAGCATTGTCCAAACCCTCCTGGAGCTCTGGCAGCCTTGGGGCCGTGCCCACTGCCCTGGGGAGCCTGGGCAGTGCCCCAGCACCCTGTGGGGGAAGAACCTTTCCCTGAGATCCATCCCAACCCCCCTGGCACAGCTCCAGCCCTTCCCTGGGTCCTGTCGCTGGTCCCAGAGCAGAGCTCAGTCCCTGCCCCTCCGCCTCCCCTCAGCAGGAGCTGCAGCCCCCAAGGAGTCTCCCCTCAGTCTTCTCTGCTCCAGCTGAACCAGCCAAGTGCCCTCAGCTGCTCCTCAGACCCATCCCCATCTCCATATCCCTCCTTTGGCTCTTACCTCTGACCAGTCCAGGGCCACCCACTCTGGAGGGCATGTCTGGTTGTTACAGGGCTCCAGCATCTTTGGCCGTGGGTGGGAGCAAGAAGCATCATCCAAGGTCTTCTCCTCAGTGGCGGAGATCTTGCGCTTGCAGAAGACGCTGCGCGTGCGGACACCCTCGTTGCAGCTCCGGCTGCACTCGGACCAGTTCCCAATCACCCACCTGGAGACAGGACAAACAGCAGAGCTTGGGAGGAGCTCAGTGAGCCAGGCTTGTCCTTGTCCTCATGCTCCTGCACTCAGTCCTTGGTCCTGTTCTGGTCACAGCCTCCCAGGCAGCTCTGGTTGAACCACAGAGTTCCTCCGCATCTCCCCTTCCCTTCAAGGGAGGGGCAAGGACAGATAGAGATGGGCTGAGACAACTTTGGAAGGACTCAGTGAGTATCTGGGAGGAGAAATCTTCCTTTCTTCTGCAACAGAGCTGCTTTAGCCAGGCAGTGACACCCCTGGATACCCTACCAGTGTCTCACACATTGGTGTCATCCTGGTTTAAAACTGGTAGAAGGTGGAAAAGGATCCTTTGGAATAATTTTGGAATAATTGGATAATTTTGTGTTTTACCTGACCAACAGGATTTTTTTTTTTTTGCTGTGGTGGGGGACTCTGACCCAGGAATGGCAGACAGGGGGGAATTTCACCCTCTTCCACACTGGCTTTCCCACCCTCCCTCCCTCCACCTGCTCCCTGCCACGGAACTCACGCTGGGGGACACGGCTCAGTGTTGCACAGCCTCTGCCTCTCCAGCAGTTTGTTTTCAGGGCTGCAGAAATGGTTGGAGACAGTTGAGCCATCAGAAAGTTTCCTGCACACCACAGACTGGATCTGGCTGCCTGCCAAGAGAAAAGAGGCAAAGGAGGAAAGAGGGGAGGACGGTGAGGGCTCACATGGAACTGGCCCCACAGCTCTGCTCCCGTGGGGGGATGTGACAGATCAGCCACTTGTCCCTGCACCTCAAGCCTTAACCTACTTTTCTATTCATCACCAAGGCCTCCTCTGACATCTCCAGTAAAAATTGGGGGTGTGAAATGATGGTGTCAACAACTGGACGTGGCACTCAGTGCTCTGGCCTAGTTGGCAAGGTGGGGATTGGTCACAGTTTGGACTCGATGGTCTTGGACCTTTCCAACCTTAATGATTCTATAAATCTGCGAACCTAAAGGTCACCAGCCAGGGCATGTCACAGAATGGAGGATCAAAGCATTCCAAGGATCTCATCCTCAAATAAACCTGTTATAACCTTGGCCTTGTGACATTTCCTGGGCAGCACTGGGGGGAATAATTGGAACAAAGGGAGACAAACTCTTGGTTGAGGTCGAGCACACAAGACCAGGTCAGGGCCCTGAGCTTTAAATGGGGAACATTATTAAGCTCTTCTCTTCTGAACACCAGCTCAGTCCCTCACAGCCAGGATCTCTAGAGCCACAAGACATGGCCCAAACCTTGGTGTCGATCCCCATGGGAACCAGCTCAAGGGATTCAGGGAAGCACCAGTGGTGTTTCTGTTCACATACATGTGGATCTGAGGCCAGAGGGACTACTGTGATTGACCAATATGTCCTTGCCCCATCCCTGGAATTGTCCAAGGCCAGGTTGGATGGGTCTTGGGCTAGTGGAAGGTGTCCCTGTCCATGGCAGGGAGTGGAACAGGATGAGCTTTAAGGTCCCTCCTGATCTAAAGCCATTCCATGATTTGATGCATTGCATAAGTAAATGGGTTTAAAAGGGCCTGGAGTGCCAGGACAAGGGGGAAAGGCTTCTGATACTGCCAGAGGGCAGGGTTAGATGGGCTACTGGGAAGAAATTCTTCCCTGTGAGGGTGGTGAGGCCCTGGCACAGGTTGCCCAGAGAAGCTGTGGCTGCCCCTGGATCCCTGGAAGTGTCCAAGTCCAAGCTGGACGGGGCTTGGAGCAACCTGGGCTAGTGGAAGGTGTCCCTGCCCATGGTAGGGGTGGAAGAAGATGGGCTTTAAGATCCCTTCCAGCCCAAACCATTCCATGATTCTATGATATGCCACCTCCCACCACTTCCACCACCCACACATGTTCCAGCTGCAAGTGGCCCCCAGGTTGTTTGCCCTGGCACTCTGCCCACAGGGTTGTGTTGGCTGAGTGCAGGGTGAGAACGTGGAGAGACCCAAGAGCTCCTTGAGAGCAGAGCAGAGCAGACACCACTATCCGTGCTCTGCCTCGTGCAGCCCAGACACAACAGTGGGAGTCCCAGCAGTGCAGACATGTATCCCCCCCAACTAAAATGGGATCAAACCTCACCCCCTGCACACAGCACGGAGCATTTGGTCCATGGGGTGTAGTGCCAGGAATACTGGTTGGAGCCGTCCCTGCCAACGGGTGCGTTGAACTTGTAGCGGATCCCCTGCGGCTCCGTCCGCACCAGGACCTGCAGAGAAAGGCACCACCAAGGCATCAGTGCCACGGAAGTCCAGCATGACCATCTGGATCATCTCACGATCTCTCTTAAATCAAGGGCAGCTGAAATCTTCCCCCCTTTCCCTTTTCCAGTCCTTCTCAGAATTGGCACAGTAGCCAGTCACCTTTGAAGGTGACACAATCAGGGAACAAGCTCCCATGCATTTAAGGATTAAATCATCCCAAAGCCTGGCAAACTGGGAGGGAGACCTGAGAATTATGCCCAGTTTGCCTCTGGTTTCTGTGTCCCTTTACTCCAGACAGCAAGGGCAGGGGCTGATTAGGTCCAGCAGCTTGAAGCTGAGCCAGGGGAGATTTAGGATGGATCTCAGGGAAAGGTTCTTCCCCCAGAGGGTGCTGGGGCACTGCCCAGGCTCCCCAGGGCAGTGGGCACGGCCCCAAGGCTGCCAGAGCTCCAGGAGGGTTTGGACAACGCT